GAGTTACACTGAAGGTGTTTACTGCCTGCACGTTATATCACATCATTAAATAAGGGGATTTCCTGATCTTCCTTATTATTCACATTTCACAATAACTCTGCGTTTCATACTTGTAGTGAGGCACTTACTCATACATACATTAAATAACCACAAAGCACAGGCACAGGGATGTAAAAGGAAAACAATACTTTAATACTTTTTTCACTCTTCATCATCATCATCATCATCATCAACTTTATTTATAAAGCACTTTAAAACAACCACAGCTGGCACAAAGTGCTGTACATTGGAACTGTAAAATAAAATTACATGAGATATAAATAAAAAACAAATAAAAGAGTGAAATCATTAATTAAATAACTACTGCATTAAAAAAAGAAACTAAGTCTCACTGAGGTTAAAAGCCAAGGAATAAAAGTGGGTTTTAAGACGTGATTTAAAAGTGGACAGTGAAGGGGCCTCTCTAACATGCATGGGCAAATTATTCCATAATTTTGGAGCCACAATAGAGAAGGCCCTGTCCCCTCTGAGCTTCCTCCTGGATCTCGGTACCTCCAGGAGCAGCTGGTCAGTTGACCTGAGAGACCGACAGGGTGTGTGGGGATGAAGAAGCTCAGAGAGGTAAGGCGGGGCAAGACTGTGAAGGCATTTAAAAACAAACATAAGAATTTTAAAATTAACAGACACAGGCAGCCAGTGCAGAGAGGCCAGCACGGGGGTTATATGCTCTCTTTTTCGAGTTCCTGTTAGGAGTCGTGCAGCCGCATTTTGAACCAGCTGCAGACGTGAGAGCAATGACTGACTGACCCCCACATAAAGTGAGTTACAGTCGTCCAGGCGGGAAGAAATAAAAGCATGGATCACTGTTTCAAGGTGCTGCCTCAAAAGAAAAGATTTTAGTCTTGCCAGTCGCCTGAAATGATAAAAACTGGACTTCACCACTGCTCTGATTTGGTTGTCCAATTTAAAATCACTGTCCAACTTAAAACCAAGGTCAGTAACAACAGATTTAAAATAGACTTCCAGGGATCCTAAAACAACAGAGGAGGACTCACAGGGACCACTGGGTCCAAACACCAACACTTCTGTTTTCTTTTCATTAAAATTTAAAAAGTTTAGAGCCAACCAAGCTTTAATGTCATCTAGACATGTCAAGAGAGGTTTTATGGAGATGGCATCCTTGCGTTTTAGTGTCAAATAAATTTGGCAGTCATCGGCATAACAGTGAAATGAGATCCCATGCCTTCTAAGGATAGAACCCAGAGGCAGTAGATACAGAGAAAAGAGCAGTGGCCCTAAAATTGAGCCCTGTGGGACACCACATGACAGAGGAGCAGAAGACGATTCGTAACCGAGAAGGCTGACAGAGAAAGTTCTATCTGACAAATAAGACCTAAACCAATTGAGTGCAGTGCCACCAATACCCACTACATCATGTAATCGAGAAATTAAAATATTGTGGTCTACTGTGTCAAAGGCAGCAGTTAGGTCAAGCAAGACAAGAACAACATGGTTACCAGAATCACATGCCAGAAGGATGTCATTAAAAACCCTTAGTAATGCAGATTCTGTGCTGTGAAGGGTTTTAAAACCTGACTGAAAAACCTCAAAGATTCCATTTTCATCTAGAAAATCTTTCAGTTGACTAAAAACAATTTTCTCTAAAACCTTGGAGACTAAAGGCAGCTTGGAAATAGGCCTATAGTTCGCTAAAACTGTGTGATCAAGGCCAGGTTTCTTAAGCAGTGGCTGTACTACTGCGTGTTTGAAATTTGCAGGAACCACACCAGAAGACAGACTGCTGTTAATAATGTCAAGGACATACTGTTGTATACTAGGAAAAATTTCTTTAAAGAATTGTGGAGGGACAGGATCCCGTGGGGAACCTGTGGGCTTAATATGGCGAACCACATCCTCTAAAGAGGAGAGCGTCACAAGCTCAAACTGAGTGAAAACAGCAGCGCAAGGGACAGAGACAGAGGGGTCAGAGTCAGGAGCTGTGATAAGAGCCCTGATGGTGACAACCTTTTCAATAAAAAACTTCTAGTAGAGAATATCGTACATGGCACATAAAGACATGCTTTCAGAGAAAATGCTGATTGGACAATATTTGAAAGCCTTAAAATTCACACATTTCATTCACACGTTTTGCAAACCACTGTTTGCTGCACTTGGTAAGTGGACTGGCATTTCTAGTGTCACTGACATTCAAAAACACTTCACACTGCACGCATGCAGGGATTTATTTTATTAATAGTGTTTAAGTGCAGGCGGCACAGTGTGGATGGCTGTCTGCGTCTATGTGACAGGCTGGTGAGCTGTCCAGCTGTACTGCGCCTCTCGCCCTAAGACAGCTGAAACAGGATAAGCGGAAGAGAATGGATGGAGCGTGTTTATGTATTACATATACACGACAATATAGTCACCATCACAGGAAATGATGAAGCTGGAAAATAGTTGCCTTTAGGGCTTTTTAATAGTAAAAAAAAAGCATATAGGGAGCTGAAAATAGTGGAAAGGAATTTTTGCCCCAAGTAGAGGACAAGTAGAGGAGTGTCTGCAGAGCTTTGCTACAGTAGCACCAAAAATGTGATCAGAGCGCTGTTTTATGCAAATAATGAACATTTGGGTGGTCGTGAAGTTTTTCAGTCCTCGAATGAACACCTGCAGGCTCAGCGGATCCAAATTTGGAAATAAGTCATACGTCTGAGGAAAAGACCTCAGGAATGCTGGAGAGATTAGATGTCTCAGCTTGGGATTGCGTCAGCGCTCCCCTAAAAGAGAGCGAGGAGCAGAGCTGTCGGCTTTGTGAGACAGTTTGAAAACTTACAGTAAGTGTTGAAAGATGGCTGCAGGGTGATTTGGGTCCAGGTTCATGTTCACTTCTGATTAAATGAAGGTGGATCATCAGCCTGAAATGAAATTATGACAAAAAATCTTTAAAAAAACAAATGAAGTAAAATTATGAAGAAGAAAAATAAAAGTGTCACCATTTTTCTTTTTAAACTGACACATTTGACATGAACATCCTGGATTATACTCGCAGGACTTTGCTGACTGTTTGAATAACCCCTGAATAATCCAGCCTGCTTATTAATTCATTGTGTGTCTTTGTTTTCTCATGGTGAGTCACGTTGTTTGACCCACGTTCCCTTTCACTTTGTGATTTTAAAGTAGCTTTTCCTTGGAAATGAGGGTTTACAAGCACTTCACTTTTACTGCAGCTTTTTGTGGTGGGCACGAACGTGATGCAGCTCACTCAGTCATCCTGCTCGGTTTGCTGTGCACTTCTGTTCAACATTACTCTGATTCAGCGATTAATCAGATCTGAGTGATGATGAAATTACATTTAAATTTGTAGAGGAAACGTTTCAGGCTGCTGGAATGCCATGTCGTCATTTTCCCTGCTTGGATGTGATTCTTTGGAAGTCTGAGGCTTTTAGCTTCATAATGTTTCAGACAAACACATAACAACCCCGTGTGTCTCTGCCTCTGTGACCAGGACCTGTCCCCTGCTATTCTTACACTGAAGCACACTCTTACACTCTCTTTGTTTTCAGGCCACTGCAGCTGTGTGCGAGCACTTCGGCTGGTGGCTCCTCCGGGAACGTGAAAGAATCCAAAGACACACAAAAAGATGCAAAGCAAGCAGAGAGAGACTCTGTCGCTAGAAAAAACCCAAAGTGAGACAGAAAGACAACGAGATGTCGACAGCACGTCTGCGTCTCCACACTCGTAATCTCCTCTGTGAGTTTACTGTGGATCGCTTTTGCTGCGCTGCAAACAGGAAGATTTAAACGATCTTTATTGTCAACAAAATAAAGTGCAGTCCCTGCAGAGTCAAGAGAAACAGTTTGAATATAATTACAAAAGAATCCAATACGCAAGAGTCATAAACACGATGTCTGCGCAGTATTTGTGAGATTGAATTGGAGGAAATGACTTGTAATTCAAAGCTGCTATTTAGATCCTGTATCTTTTGCCTGATGGCTGCATTTGGGTGTTGCTCCAGAGGAACAGCCAAGTTCCTGCTGTGCAGCTGGGGACCCGCACACAGAGGCAGTAGCACAGGATGCTCTCGATAAACATCGATAGCAGGACACCGGCAGCTTTTGACGGATGTTATTTTTAATGTATTCTATTTTGTTTTGTATAGTATGATATTATTTCTAATCTTATTCTATTGTTGCTGTTCTTCTGTTTCTTAATCTTTGCTGCTCTTAAATTGTAACCGTGATCAAAACATTTCCCACTCGTGGGACTAATAAAGGTTTATCTGGTATTAATTTTCCTGAGGTTTCTCAGGAAATAGAGCTTCTGTTTTTCACCCAAAGTAGACACACTGCAGTGCAGTCCTCCAAGCTCCGGGGGAGGTTTACTGAACAAACAGTAAAAAAAAGAACCGGGGTAACAAAGGGCTTCTTTTTTATCCTGGGTCCTCATTCAGCCACAAACACATCAGGAGTGGAGTTGATGGAAATTTGGGTTCAATGTTTTGCATCAGGACATTTCAGTTCATTATGGTAGAGCAGCTGAAACTGTCTCGTCTGAACTTCATTTGATGCCGTTTGTCTAAATAGTAAAAGCAGACAAAGACTCGCAGCAGAAGAGAGCCAGAGATGAAAAATAACTCAGATCACATGCAGTGAGTAAAGAAGAACTACTCATGTGCATCATGGGAATCCCCGGCAGCCTGCGTCTATTGCAGCATAACTAAGGGGGGATTCAGGGTCACCTGGTCCAGCCCTAACTATATGCTTTAGCAAAAAGGAAAGTTTGAAGCCTAATCTTGAAAGTAGAGATAGTGTCTGTCTCCTGAATCCAAACTGGAAGCTGGTTCCACAGAAGAGGGGCCTGAAAACTGAAGGCTCTGCCTCCCATTCTACTTTTAAATACTCTAGGAACAACAAGTAGGCCTGCAGAGCGAGAGCGAAGTGCTCTTGTACTGCACTGGAACATCAAAATAAAACAAAATCACAAACTATTCAACATTTCACGAGGAAATCTTTATTATCAGATTGTTAATTAGCAGCTAAATGAATTTCTTTTTTCTTTTGCACACAGATTTTTTTAAGGTTCTGGATCAGCTGCAGTGATCCACAAACATTCGGGGCTCCGATTAAAGTCTGCGGCCCCGGAAAGTTTCCAAGCGGCTCCGTTCCATCCAGACTGTCACCATCAGGACGCCATCTGCTGGTTTTATGGTCCCACAAATGTCTCTGTGGGGTTTTCATCCACGGTAGACACACTTCCATGCAGTCCTCCAAGATGTAGCGCAATGCTGAAATTACATGATGTGAGTAACTGCCTAATGTCGACTGGTCTGGATACAAGAGGGAGTGAAAAAAGAGTTTAACGGGAGAACCGTAGCATAAAGTTCAAAGAGCGAAACAAACAGGCTGCAGTGACACTCTCAGTTTCAATTCAGCTCTTTGTGTTTTAGAGCTTGACTTTTCTCCGTGGCTAGCTAACGGACCAACAACAGCACAAAGACAGGCAGACGGGCCACGCCCGCACGGGAGCTTCCTCTGTGGGACCATGAAACCAGCTTCAGGTGTCAGCAGTGATGTCAGCGTCTGGGACGTCACGTTTAGGTCCTCTTCCAGGTGCTGTGTTTGGGAAATTTTCCAAACATTTCCTTCAGCTTCACAGTCTGAGGTCACTTCCTGTTTCTCAGGGCCTGCTAAGAGTTCCCAAAATGCTAAGCAGCAGCAGCAGCAGCAGCAGCGTGAGGTGAGGTCGTGTGTGCCCTGCAGATCCAACCAGCAGCAGGTGAACCCCCTCCCTGTCTGGGATCATGGTTTGGGCATCCTGCAGTGCACTGACAGCGGCCATGCTGGAGTTCAGGTCTCCGCTGGCGATCAAGTCGAACACGCAGGCCTGATAGTAGACGTCTCGAGCTGGAAGCAGAGCCGCGCAGTGGTCCTCAGCGCTGATGGCGGTGGACATCAAAGGGTCTGATGGTGGTGGGTGAAGCGTGTTGAGTCTCTGGGAGGGGGGGCAGCCCCACACGCACAGCTGGAGGTCCTGCTCAGGCCTGAACGCCTCAACGACGCCACGTGGCGAGAGGACTGAGAGGCCGAGCGAGCGGCCGCTCTGACGCACCACCAAGACCGTGCCGACGTGCACCGCTCGGATCTCGGCGTGCCGGCCGGGATTCAGAGACCGAACCGTGAGGCTGCGATGACCTCGCCACTCGCCGCTCCACATCGAGCCGTCAGCGAAGGCGGCGGGGACGTTGTCCAGTTCGGCCTGGTACAGCTGCTGGTCGATACACTGACGCCAGTTCTTGAAGATGATGGTGATCTGAGAGGAAAAAGAAGACATTAAATGCCGTTTTCCATAATAGCTCTGTGATTATTTTCATTTTGGGGTCGTAAATGTTTATTTCTGCTCACTGTTACATTTTTATTTGCTGTTATTGGGACATTTTGTCAGTTTTCAGCATGTCTGACATTCATTTCTCTCTTTTCACAGTAAACTGCATTTTGTGCACTGGGCTGTAGTTTGAGCACAATGCGACGGCGCTCTATCGGTCAGCCCTGCAGCAGACTGACGGCATGCAGGGTGTACCCCACCTCACCCTCTGCTCGGATCCCCCCCCCTGACCGTAAGTTGAGGTTTACATGAGAAGCTGATGGTGCATTTGACTGCTCCTGTAAGTGTCAGCACTCACCTTGGTGAGAACTGTGGCGTACATGCCTCCCCTGGCTGGTGAGCTGGTGGCTTGTACGTACAGATACTCATTGTCAATGAGAGGCCACGCCCCCGGAACGGCACATGTGTGGAAGTCATTGTTGAAAGTTCTGATGTGCGGGTCTCCGAACACGCTGCAGTGCAGGTATTCGGGTGTCTGCCCCTCCCTGCTGAAGAAGCTCCTCTCATACAGGCAGGTGTCCCCCGACAGCGTTTCAGCAGGGGGGGCCCGGGGCTGTGCCGTGGGCCCGACCCGGGGGCAGCGATGCTGGATGAGCAGATCTTCGATTCCTTGGACCGCAGAGTGGTAAGCGAGGTCACCACGACACGCTCGCGACAGCCTCTTGGTGCACATGGCGTACGAGCGCAGGGCGCTGCAGTAACCGGCGTTCGCCGCCTGCCTGCTGACAGCTGCTGCTCCTCCTCCTGCTGCCCCGCCGCCGCTGCCACTACTGCTGCTGCCCAGGTCCAGCGTTGCAGCCACAAAATCCGAGTTACACCTCAGGATATGACAGGAAGCTGTAACTGATAAGAAGGAGAAAGTGTTTAGCATAAACAGGCTTACGGACACTCGAACTAGGGCTCCCACCATGCAGCAGTTTTCACATTTGCCTGATCAGCAAATTCTGGAAGGAGATACAAATCCCTCTGGAATTGCATCAGGGAGAACATCAGAACTGCTGTGGCAATCCTTTGTGAATAAAGGAGAAGCTCAAAGTAGCTTCTTCTTATACGGGGTTGACCCTGGAGACACAAGTGGACACTGGAACTGCAAGTTTTGCCACGTCCACATTGACTTTTAGACTTTTACTGTCACAGTTCTGGAGGTTGCTGAAAACCAGCTTCATGCAAGTGAAGCCAAATAAGGAAAAGCTATCCTGGGTGTACTGAACTGGCTTCCTAGTTTAGTCTCCAGGAGCCTGTAATACAATAATACTGCAGTCTCAGCATTTTCTGGACTGAAATGATGTGAAGAATAAATATAAAAATACATTTCAAATGTAGGACTAGCTTACTTTGAAATTTGATTTGGTAAATGGTAAATAGACCAGACAGGTCGCATCACTAACAGAGAGAGAAAGACAACAATGGGCACTCACACTCACACCTATGGACAGTCCAGGTCTCAAACTCTCGGCCGCGGGTCACTTGCAGCTCCCTTAACCTCTACTTGGTGTGAAGAAATATTTTTTTAATCATTATTCAAAAATTCTATTAATATGAAGGCAATATGAGCAGAGTGTTACAGGCATGGGCAGTGTAGTCCGTGCTGCAGGGAGCATGGACTGCTGTTATGTGTCTGTGAGCGAGGGAGGGAGAGAAAGGAAAAGTACGAGCTGTCACCGAGCAGAAACGGGAGCTGGAAGCATGTAAATATAATAATAACCTGCAGCCAAGAAGAGAGCCTGACGAGCCCAGCTGTAAGTAAGCTGTTAAGACTCGACTGTACCCTGTGTTCGTGTTTTCCTCCGAAACAATAAGCAGCCTTTCAACGCCTCTCTCTGTCTCTCGCTAGCAAAGTTGACCCAGACAACAAAGTAAAGCTAGTTTTCAGCTACGAGCCCGACGTATTAGCCAGAGGTCTCTTTACTACCGTGGCGATCGTGGCTCAAGAGTTGGGAGTTCGCCTTGTAATCGGAAGGTTGTCGGTCTCGGTCGTTGTGTCCTTGAGCAAGACACTTCACCCGTTGCCTACTGGTGGTGGTCAGGACGGCTGTGGCTACAATGTAGCTGCCATCACCAGTGTGTAAATGGATGGATGACTGGATGTGTAAAGCGCTTTGGGGTTTAGTAAAGCTAGTAAAGCGCTATACAAATACAGGCCATTTACTATGGCTCGGAGCCGCGCACCTGTCTGAGGTACAGTAAAGTACAAACATGTTGAGGGATTGGCTGTGTTAGTTCAGATTAATGTGTACACTGATGTCTGCATTTTTATTTTGTTAAGTACGAACAAAATGATAGAAGTGCTGCCACGAGGAGAAGGAGCTTTGTTTAGTTGGTGGACCAGTGAAAGGCTTCAGTTAGTTGAGAAAAGGAGTGAGAAAACAATTCACGTTTGCAGTTTTGTCGTGTTATACAATATTTGAAATTTATTTGAAGCAAACAAACAAAACACTACATTTCAGGAAATATCAGTGGGTGGTTTCTTGTTTGTTTGATTTTTTGTACTACTTAAGCACTAAAGTGGTCCTCCAATGAGATGACGGTGCCAGCAGCGGCCCACGGCTCATTTGAGTTTGAGACCCCTGGTATAGAATCACCATTAACCTAACCGCACTAACTGCATGTCTTTGGACTGTGGGGCTGGGAGAGGACCCGTACATGCCACACAAAACAAGGATTTGAACCCAAGACCTTCTTGCTAACCACAGCGGTTTAAAACTCTTTACTGCTTGCAGTTAAATTTAAAAAAACAACAGGCATACAGACACATCTGAGCATCTAAGACAAAGACTGTTTGGGATGCATTTCCAGCCATACATCCGTGTTTGATGGATCTTCCAGGAATTCTGCTATTTTCGGGAGAACTGGTCAGCAGGTGGTGCTTTCATACATGCTGATCTATGACAGAGTCTGCTCTGGAGCAGGTGTGGAGTGGTGTTGTTGCTCGGAAAGTCCGAAAATTCTAGCAAAAAATAAATCTTCAGGAGAAAAACACAAGCTTTTAAGAATCCACTGGCACTCTGTCTCTCTAATAGGAAGCTTTTATTTTGAAGGCCCTAAGCTGCTGCTAAAGACTGATACCTGAGACATGCATTGATTAATGCTCAGCTGAAAGGCTGCTGGTTAAAAATCCATATTCTTACATGTTGGCAAATAAATATTTAAAGGATCAAAATAACAGTTTGTGGTTATTATCGCTAATGGCTTTCCACTTCCTGTTGGGCTCTCAAGATGAAGAACTCTCCTGTTTTGTCTGTAATGTACTGGGCAGTCTTTTGTTTATCTGTGTGTGTGTGTGTGTGTGTGTGTGTGTACCTTCAGGTAAAGAAACCTGGATGAGCAGCAGAGTCAAGTGGATCCAGCACTTCCACAGCAAGGCAGCCCAGAGCGCCATCAGCAGGCTCACAGCAGGTCGTTCAGTCAATCAGCACCAGTCTGAAAAATGCCACAGACATGTGCCACACTCACCTGTTAGCAGCCAAACCCTGTAACCCGCCTCCACTTGTAAATGAGCTGGTTTGTTTGCTCTGATAAGGATTTCTGATTATGATGATGCTCTGAGTGGGAACTGGTACCTCTCTTCCCCTCTCATGATGCTACTCAGCATGATTCACTGGCAGGCTCATGTGATAATTAAATATTACAGTCCATCAGTGATTTCACTGCACATGAGTTCATCTGTCTGATTGCAATCATCATTCTCTTTAAAACTGATCATCAGAGTTCGTATTAATTCTGTGGTTGACTGAAACCAGTCACTAACATAATTTTGACTTCCAGGTAGGGGTGGGCGATATACACGATATATGATAGAAACGATATAAATTTGGCCAACGACAGAGATTTTGACTATATCGCTCTATCCCGATAGCGCATGTTGATGACGTCACCAAGCGGCGCCTGTTTTGGTTGAAAGCATCGCAGCGGCTAAAACCATTATCATCTGCAAATGATGGCGGGTGACAGTCATAGCAAAGAGGTGAAGCACTTTTGAAATGTGGGGAAAGCCAAAAACTGCGCTTCCTCCACTTCCGTAACATTGATTCATTAATGTTGAATTCTCTCGCAGCTGTTCTGTTCCCATGTTGTTGCAGTATATTAATGACTAACCTCGTATTGTGGATGAATGCTCTCAGTTGTTCTCCTGACTGAAGTTGCCCCGTGTACAGCATCCTGCTATGCGATTGCATTTGTCCCTGACCACCAGAATCCCGCACGTTAACTTTTATCGAGTGGAAAAAAAGTTGGCTTCATCCTCCAGCTTCACTGTGCTAATGTTATGCTAACATAGCTGTGTCGCTAGCAATCACGTAGCACAACATTATATACCAGCTAGCCCAACTTCAGTAACCCTGCAAATGCCACTGCTGTTTAGTTTCCTGTCTTTATGTTAGAAGTGGTAGCAGAGCTGTACGTTTGAATTAGTTTCAAAAATCTGCAGCCAAAATCGGTTCGAGGTCAGTAAGCACAACCAGAATTCATACATAAGGAACACTCTCGATTTTTGAGAAAATTAAAGGATTTTAAATCCTTATAGTGTGGAAAATACGTTATACAGAAGAAAAGAATATATTGCGATATATATCGTTACCGCATGTGCTTCAAATTATGTCGCGATATGGCTTTTAGGCCATATCGCCCAGCCCTACTTCCAGGCATGAATCCCTCCTTTCAGCCTTTTTGTCTCTGAGTTGGACATCTTTTATATAAACTATTCATGTGAACAAGAATTCAGATAGACATAAAAAACAAATGCACTGGGATGTCATGCTTGGAGAAAACTCTCCTGAGTTTCTCTGATACACCGGCTACATAGGGGATGACAGTGTTGTTGAGTCTGTCGTTCTTATCCTCCCTCGCTGGTGTCTGATCTTCTCTTCTGATGCACAGAAAAGAAGATGACGACATCCTGGTGTACTTCAGACCCAGCAACACACTCAGACAAAAACTGGTTCACCCGAAAGACAAAACTCCTAAACACAAACTTCACAGGACAAGACTCAGCAGTCCATCTGCATCTAAAGGTCAAAGGTCACTCTTTCGAGGATGCCAATGTTCACATTTTGGACAGAGAGGACAGATGGTTTGAAACAGGAGTGAAAGAAGCATCTATGTCCACTGTGAGCGACCATCTTTGAACAGAGGCGGGGTTTACGACACCAACTCTCTGCCATCTATGATCCAGTTTTGAGATCCTCCCCAGACGCCTTAACGCCCACTCACATCCTGGGCCAGCTGACCTCAGGAATTCACATGATAGGGTGGGGCCAGGTTTCACAATGAGCTCACCTGATTGTGACCCACACCCATTTTCACCCCTTGGCTCATGTGATTAGGTGGAGGATCATCAGAGGGTCCTTTGTCCCTCTTTGGGGGGAAACTCCCACTGGGTTTAAATCTGGGACTCTCCACCATTTGACCTTAGAACTGAAGAAGCTTCTCAGATGATAGTCATGTGCTTTTTGTATGCGCTGTGGTGTTTTTTTTTCTGTTCTCAAACTGATCTCCCTGTTGGAGCTCAGTCTGGGGGGAGTTCTTTTTTCTCCTCGTCTTTCCTCATGTTGTGCATTTTCCATTATTATACCTCTCTGACCTGATCGTCTCCATGAAAGTGTGCTGACATCCTGCATCTGTGTGGTTCTCCAGCTGCACCATGGCACACAAAAAGGCACTTCAGAGGATCATTATTATGGCCCAAAACATCCTCTTCCCTCCCTGAAGGACCTGTGCAGCACTCGCTGTCTCAGGAGGACACGCAGCATCCTACGGGACTGCACACACCCAGGACACCGGGTGTTTACGCTGCTGCCGTCTGGCTGGAGGTTCAGGCTGCTGAGGTCCCGGACCAACAGACTCAAGGACAGCTTTTACAACAGGGCGACAGCCCTAATCAATGCTAACAGCTGACCTGATTGGCTACATCCCTGGACTTTTTGGGTGGGCAATAACAATAACAATAATAATGTGCAATAAACTTTCACTCACTCTTTTATTTTTTATTAAATCATTACTTTTTTTGCTCAAACCTTTCTTGCACTTGGACAAATCCACTTAAATTCCTCTGTTGTGTTTGTTGTGCTTAGTTGTGCTTATGCCAGCGTGGGACATTTTCCAGTTCCATTGTACTATTGTGCTAAGCATGACTGTGCAACGGAAACAAAGAGTTATCTTATCCTATTCATGAAAACCTCAGGAATGGAAGAATGACCAGTTCCTGTACTGTGAGTCAGCCACCAAAGACTCCTCTGTGAAAGTGTCCCGACTTTTACAGCAGAAAAAAACAACACATTTTGAGCCTTGTGCAACAATGTTTGGGGCCTTCGGTGTGAGTTTCCCCCCCTCTAAACAAATATACAGACGGATCTTTTCAAACAGCGATTCACACATCTGAGGATAAAACATAAGAGTCACATTCCTTTTTTTGACTTTCTGTGGAATCGTGTGACTGTTTTCTCACAGTAACACAGATGTGACAGAGCGCCACCATCGGGACCTTCAGCTCACCTGCATGATGCTCGCTGGAACCTTCTTCTTCTCCAGGAGCCATTAGAAAACCTGCACACACAAATGTCACATGACTCGTGATCACCTGAACGATTCTTTAACATTTTTTCAACCCTTTGATTGATTTTTTTATGTCATGGTCAACTTAGCCGAAGCTGCACCGACACTTTCACTTTCACGTTCATGGATTCCATTCCTGTTACATTCTTTTATTGTCTGTGTAGTTTTTGGTTGTCTGCATTTTTATTATTAAACGTGTTTTTCCAGTCTGTGATTTAGATCACACTCTGGCAGATGACTGGACCTCCCCGAGTCTGGTTCCCACTGATGCCAAAGCGCTTTCTCATACGGATCGTGTGATTGTTGGGGTTTTCTGTTTACTCACCCGTGAGCTAACTGTTGTTGGCATTTGATTTGCTGGCTTGAAGGGGAGGGGCTAAAAACAGCTGTTTTCTCTGTTCTCTCCAAACCACATTTATTGTCCCATTTCTCTCTGTTAACGTTATTTATATGTTCAATGCAAATGCTGCTTAAAAAATGTAAGCAACTGATTATCTTTTGTTAATTAATGATGATTTATCACTTTTATCTGTTTCACGCTAGTTTTTGTGGAATAAAGAAGTTAAAGATGTGAAATTTGGTCAGAAGCTTTAATATGAGGCCTACCTGCTCAGAGTTGGTCCTCACTGATAAACTCAATAACAAAATTACTTTAGATCCTTAAATATCCTGTTTCTGCAGTTTCCTCCAAGTTAAGCAGATCTAAGTATTAATAAAAGAACGATAAATATTCAGCCCGAGTGATTCATTCAGGTCAACCTGCCTCCTTTTTTTCTCTCTGCGCTGTAAAATGGACTCTTGTCTGTTTGTCTGTGTTTTTTCCTACAGAACAAACAGCAGCGGTCAGTGGGCGGGGCTTACTGCGATGGTTCCACACAGAACTTTGCGGACCGTCGCCTACACGTCGTCCCCGTGTGCTGTTAGCAGGAGGCAGTGTCAAAAATACGTTGAACACCTCAATAAATGATTGATGTTGTTGCCTGTTCCGTTGGGTTTTAGCTGCCACCACAGATCAACCTGAAGGCAACTAGTTTGTTCAAAAACCTCCACAAACACATGAAGTCAGCACAAATGTGGAACTACTTCAGTGCTCCATAAAAGCAGCAAATAAGGAATAACGGTGTCACCAGGTCTGACCGGGAGACGCTAAGGCTGTGACTACAGAAAGGTGACCAGACTGCTCTCTGGAGTTGGTTACTGGGACACACACACATTTGGGAATGAGGGGCCTCAGCAGGGGCCCCCGGGTAGGTTCCAAATATGTGACGCTGAACAGGGAGCATGCCGGCTGTTTCCAGCATTTCCAGTCTTTAAATTGAGCTTTGGGGGCTTGAAATTGATCCTCAGTCAATCAAAGGATTTATATAAAAACACTGAACTGGTCCTTTAAAATAATGACCAGCATGAACGGTGACAGACAGCTGTCAGCTGACCTTTAGCCCTCTTTAACAGCTGTGTGTGTGTGCGCGTGAGCTTGTTGTACTCGTCTGTTTACACAACTGCATGGTGAGGACTCGACCTCCTGTTGATAAGCGAGTCCCTATAAGGTGAATGATTAAATCTGAAGGTGTGTCCTCGGTTTAAGGTCTAATGCGATACATTAATATTAATATGCAACGTTAGGTCTGCTGCAAATGCTCCTGGTCAGCGTCCTGTGTTTCCAGTAATGCAAACGTGACTGTGTGTGTGTGTTTTGGAGTGTGAGGCTAAATTTAAACCTCAGTTGCTCTGCAGAGTTACAGTCACACAGGCTTATAAATACCCACACACAATATGAGCAGTTTATATGTATGAGCACACACACACACACACACTGGGAATATTTTTTGAGCATGAGTCTCACTGGTCATACTGGTCACAGAATTCCACCCAGGCTGAGTCACAGGTAATTTGTTCGTGTTTCTCACGTTTTCATCGCTGGTGTCCGAATGTAAAACGCAACCTTTACCAACCCTCTAATAGCCATCAGAGTAACGTCTGTGTGACCGGCGGGTTTAAAAATCCAAAGGATGTGATTGTTGTGCTCTTCAGTGTCTCTCGTCTCAGTGAGCATTACTAGCTGCCACTAACTTTGAAACAGGGTGAATGACTCTCTGCACAGAGAAAGCAACACTGAAGGGTTAGAGAGCTGCCCGCTGTGTTGGGGCACAGCTTAATCTATACCAGAAGCTTCCTCACGTTCTTGCCTTTCACAATAAAAGCAGTTGACAAAATGTACATTTTGGTGATACACAAATGAATAAAATGTCTTATGAAAGTACGCCAAAGCAGTTTACCTTAAAACTCATGATTAAAATAAGAATATTAAGAAATATAGTAATTAAAATTTTCTTGTCTTTGTTGTTGGACAAATGCACTAAAAACACTTTTGGTAAATAAACAGAAATAATTTGGATAAAGTCTTTGGGGAACTACTCTGGAGAAGTCAGACAATATCTGCTTTCATAGCAGTACTGTGGTGTGCTGCGAAATCACACGCAACCAGTTTACAGTGAAATCGCGTAACTAAAGTGTTTTCTGTTGGACAGCAGCTGCTAATTATTAAACCACATGAATTCACTTCTGCGAGACTGTATTCATCAAACAAAAAGTGAAAAAGTGTGTCAGGGTTTAACAATTACACCAACGTGATGGTGAAACTACAAAGAGTCTCACTTAAGCCATGAAGGCGATCGTGGCTCAAGAGTTGGCAGTTCGTCTTGTAATAGGAAGGTTGCCGGTTCGAGCGCCGGTCGTTGTGTCCTTGGGCAAGACACTTCAGCCGTTGCCTACTGGTGGTGGTCAGAGGGCCCGGTGGCGCCAGTGTCCGGCAGCCTCGCCTCTGTCAGTGCGCCCCAGGGTGGCTGTGGCTACAATGTAGCTGCCATCACCAGTGTGTGAATGTGTGGATGACTGGATGTGTAAAGCGCTTTGGGGTCCTTAGGGCCAAGTAAAGCGCTATATAAATACAGGCCATTTACCATAGCCAAAAGAAGAAAAACATAATTCTATATTTTTTATACTTTTAGAGCCTGAAATGAAATTTGCTAGAGGTGTGAACAAAAAGTTTTCCATAATTCATATTACAGTCCAAAACTACATGTAGGTGGTTTCTTCAGTGTAAGAAAAACTCTGTTCTGTGACGTCTGGAAGTGTTAGAGGTGATACTAAACCATAAATATTCAAATGCTGCTGAAAACACACAATGATTTCATATTCTTTATGTTGAAGGTAAATTAGCGATACAGCCTCAGGTAAAATCCTAACAAATAATAATAAAAATCTGATCCAAGTTTGTAATTTTCTAATTATGTACTTTGTTTTTTGTCTCTTACCTTCTGCCGGTTCTGTCCGTCCATGTCTGCAGTTTATCGAAGGGAAATCGATCCGAGCTCCTGAACCTGCTGCTAAAGGTCTCGGTCCAAAACTCTCCTAGACTCGACTCAGATCTCAGACTCAGTCCAGGTTAGTGTCTGAGGATCGACCCACCCCAGGTCCTGGTCTGGAACTTGTGGTGCGTTCACACTGGGAGCTTCAGTTGTTCCTAAATAAGTCTGCAACAACCACCTGCTGCACGACAACTGTCCTCGCCCGCACACGCACACACACACACATGCACACACACACACACACACAGTTTATTTATATTTCAGACCTCCATAAGTCAAACTCTATTTGCATCCTGCTGCTGTTTTACTTGCTGTTCCTTTTTTCACATCTTTATAAGCATGCATATGTGTGGCTGACATATGTAGATAGAGCATTAGATGTAGAATATGAAAAGTGGCTGCACAAGACTTTAAGCTTCTTTTTGTACAATGCAGTGAAAGAAGTATAATTTTACTACAGTACAAAGTGTTTAAAATACATTTTATTTTAAAGTAAGCTTTAACATTAACCATATGGAGTACGATATCTTTATTATGCAGATTAGTCGAGGAAGAAAAAGTATAAAGTGTTTTAATGTAGACATACCTGCTGCTAGGGGGTCAGCTAGCTGGGGACACAACAGGCCACCCCTGTGAGGGTAATGAGGGGGAGGGCCGGTGGTGCTGGGGGCAAACGCGGTTCCACGTAGCGGCAGCAGGGGGCAGCACTGTCACTTTGAGGATGCAGAAAATCACCTGCTGCTGTTTTAATGTCATCGTCATTCAGACTTGCGGCTGATGACGTCAGAGCTTAGGCAGGTGGGAGCTACAATCAAACACTGCGTCTGCAGGTAAACACAGGTGATTGGCTCCTGCTCCATCGGCCCTGGGTGAAGTTCTGCGAGTGTGAACGAGGATGTAAGCGAGTGCAGATGGACGCTGCCGCAGGGCTTCCCAGGTTAAGTTGTTGGCCCTTTAAGCGTGAAGCGGGGCCCCTCTACGCCTCACTGAGCAGCTCCCAGAGCCTTTGTTAGTGTTTAGAAGTGGGGGTTTGTGGGTGTGGGTGGGGGTTCGGATTAAAACCAGCACTGACTGACTGGGACCCTCCACAGACCTGAAACAACAAGGCGACATGGACAGGCAGAGGGAGGCTGCACAGAGGTGAGCTCTTCTTCGTTTTCGCTTTTATCACAAGAACCTGAACTCATCACGTCAGCATGTGACGATGATCTGGTAAAATCACGTCAGGAGGGAGAAGCAGAACCTTTTAAACACTCGTCATGACTCGCGTCTCTGTGAACCTCAGAGGCGAAATGTTAAACATCCAGGACATCCAGGAGCTCCTAACCGCGGATGGGTCAGCTGAATCACAAACAGCTGAAAGGAAACTCTATACCCGCCAGAAAAAGTGCGTTTTTATCAAACGCTTTTCAATCATCAGTATCTGAGTGGCTGCTCTACATTTTTAGGGGGGGGGGGGTTCTACTTCATTAGTTTGTTATAATATAATTGTGATGGCTAAATGTTTATAAATGTTTATGTCCAATCGGAAAATGACTTTTTGCATTGAATATAAAACTCATCATTTTCTGTATAACATGTTCATTTAGTTTTTATAACATCTTTCGCTGGAAGATGTTTAACTAAAAGAACAAGTTGTTAAGTACAAGTGTATTTATCAAGGTACAAAAGTGTAAAACTTGTTTTCAGCTGTGTTTTTCCTCAGTGTTACCGTTTAAAATAAATTAAAGATAGCGACATGTGTTCCACAGACAACTTTAAAGAAAGACGTGTGTAACCTTCACACACACACATAAATCCTGTGAAGATCCCTTATGGTGTCACATGCGGAATCGCAATCCTAACTTTACTTTTCTCTTATTTACCTGTAACTTTCTGTAAAGTCATGATAACTAATGGACGATAAATAAGTTATAAGTTGTATTACTGGCAGCTGAAAGTTTTGTGTTTGGTTAAAAATTAAAAACAAACAAATAAAACCTGATAAATGTACAACAATCTTAAAATTAACGTGTAGCTTTAAACAAAATAATACTGCATAATATTGCTACTCAGATGCATGCATTTCTGAGTTGTATACAATTACTATTATTACATGCAGTAATCCAAACTTTGTGTGTTGAAAGCAAAGTGTGCATCAGGGTTTAGTCTGAGGAGAGATTAGGATTACGAGGTTATTAAAATGAGCTTGTTCAACAATGTCAGCTATGATGTAATATCCTCTGTAGTCACGGAAACACGGCTGTGCGTTTCAGGGTGTGTGGCGAGTTTCCTCCCGGGGTCGGGCAGGTCCGGGATGTGGTGCGCTGTTGTCATATCTCCCCTCCAATATTGCACTCGTCCCGGCCTCCCCGGCCCAGGGGTCACGACCCCGCCCCCTCCCCTCCAGGCCAGCGAGAGAGCAAAAGCAGCGCTGGAGCTCAGAGACGAGGTAGATTACAAATCACGAGCTAACCCACAGTTTTGTCCTCCACGTTGTTACGAAGTTTAAAAGCTTAAACAAAAAGCTTTCATCGTTTCATTTCCAGTGATGAGGCCGCCTGACTGAAATAGCTCCCAAAGCTTAAGAGCAACGATGAGACGTGGTGGATATTTAGCCTGAGCAAAGTGTTTAGCTTGTTTGGAGACGCAGACAGCTTTCACGTCATTAGAGTGACGCTGCCTTTACGTCATCAGAGTGACAGCAAAGCTGTGCGGCAGAGACGAGGCTGCACTTGCGTCGCTGTGATATCAAACAGCTTGTTGGGAAAACAAAGGCTGATTCTTTTAACGCCTCTTTTTCACACACCTGTTCCTAAATACATTTTGCAGTCCATACATTTCTTTTTAGCAAAACATGGCACCAGAGGCGCCTTCAGTGATGCCACTAAGGCTGCGTTCACACTGCAGGCGAAAGCGCATCAATCCGATTTTTCTGACCCTCTGCGACCATCTATCCGATCATGCTATGACAGTGTGAACGGCACAAATCCGATATTTTCAAATCCGATCTGCCACTTTCGTATGTGGTCCTGAATCCGATACATATCCGATGTTTCAGAAAGCGACTGCTGTTTGATGGTCATGTCGCATTAAATCCGTCTTTTATGTCACTGACACAAGACAGACGCCAATTATCAGCGCCGGAGAAGACATCGCGAACGCTTCCTGGCCATCCGGTGAAACTGTTGGTAAGACAACGTTGGAGAAACGTGAACATTTTCTTTGTTCTGTATAATCTGCAGATTCTGACAGAAATCTGCAACTATCCTTTGAAGCAGCGCTCCTCTCAAACAGCAATAAGGATCATTATTAGGTTATTTACATCATTATGTAAATAACAAAATAACTTAAAGCAAAAATTGGGAAACGTGAAGTCCGAAGTCTTTATATTAAGGCCATCAGTCAAACATACTGTTTGTTCTGGGTCTAAACAGAGCGCGTTGTGTGTGACGTCTTCTTTTGCGCATGCGGCCGCTTTGAGCGTTCACACTAGAGCGCGTTTGCTGTCGCATTTTATTTGTAGTGTGAACGAGCAGACAAAAAAAATCGGATTTGATCAAAAAATCTGAATTGAGCATCAAGACCTGCAGAGTGAACGCAGCCTATGAACATCTGCTTTCTGCTCGTGGCTTCTTACGCGTCCTCCAATGCAGAAACACTGACAGCAAGAAGAAAGCTGCTCGTCAGTGCTTCAGTTAGCTCGTACGTGTGATTGAATTATTTACTTTTTTTTGGTCATCATCTGTCAACCATAACACGTGTGTGATAATATCTTTGTCTCTAAATAAAAACGAATTGGTCATTTCAAACAGAAGTAGCCTTTTGAATCGTCTGTGTGGTTGATAATTGTGACAGCTGAATAGTTTAAGGAGCGATTTGCTTCATGTGCAAACGCATGTGCATGCGCTGATCTCTGTGCGCAGGGCAGCGCTGCAGGCAGATGCAAAGATGCAAAACGTGCAGCAGCAGGTGCATCAGTCTGAGCGCCTCTGCTAAGAAATCATGAAACGTGAAACCAGGATTGTAGGAAAAGTCATGGTTGGGTTTATTTCAACAAACATATTACATTACATTTGAAGAAACACAAAACATACATTTCACTTTTTGTTTGAATCAGACTTCTCTGTAACGTTAGCTTATCAGGTCTCAGCACGAGAGCTTTGTGTTTGCTGCTCAGTTAAACTGACACAATCTGATTTTTTTAAAAAGGTCCAAAAAGAATTCAGAAATCTTTGTTCCTTCTTCTTTGTTTAAGAGGACGCACACTGTTTTGGAAATGAAGTCTGTGTGTGTGTTTCTGGCTGTCAGGATGCTGATTTATACGTCTTTGTCTGATTTAAACATCGGTGATGAACATGAACGCGAAATAAACCCAGATCAGTAACAAGCAGAGAGAGGAGAGTCTGGGGGAACACGACGAGCGCGCCGACATGTCATCGAGATGAAGCAACAAGCTTTCACGCTGCATCGCTGTTCAGATATAAAAGAAGCAAATCTGGATTATTTCGTTCGCTAGAGCTTCACAGCAAACTGGACAGGAGATGATCGAGGATGCAGGCTCACGAGAAAAATGAAACAGGAATATTCACGGAGTGAAGCTGCTGTTCTTCACTCTTACTTAGCTTCAGCTGCAGATGGAAAAGTCCTAGAACCACCGTGAGGGCGCTAATGTGATTTTAGCGGCAGTTGTGACTTTGGCTTCCAAAGAAATTCAAGATAAACCCTCCAAAGGTTTAGTGATGTCACGTGTACGTGACGTGCATACTGACACATTTTGGTTCGAACTCGTTCTCCATTTCGCTCCGGTTATTAATGAGACAGACTGAGATGCGCAGCTTCTCCTACAGTTAAAAAAAGGTACATATCATTACTATCATACACTAAATGTTAACGTGGACCTATTCTTCTTCTCTTTAGTTTCTGTCGTATGTTTCCATGTTTATATTAAAAAACCGAGACACTCAAACGTCACGTAGAAGGACCCCGATGATGCGTTCAGGTGCTTCCCCCAGACTGTTCGCTCTTTGGTTGCTTTCTCTCCTTCGCTTCATTCGTGACACACACATAAACACACTCATTCAGACTGGACTTTCTCAGCTGGCGTTCAGACTACAGTTAAAGTGGGTTCAGAGAAGCTGTGTGTGTACTCGTTTTAATGGTGTGTGTGGGGTTGTGTTAACAGTCCCTCTGCAGCTCTCAGACCTGAATGTGCATCAGAACTTGTTTACGATGAGTCTGGAAGTCTTCAGGCACCGTGTCTGGAATAAAGAAGGAAATGAGCAGAAAGTTCATCAGTTGTCAGAGTCAGCAGGTTGTACTTCCTGCAGATAGCGACTGAAAAGTGGACACAAGTCTTTAAGCCCTGATCTCATTGGGATTTTTTTTAGTTCTGCAGACATGAGAGGTAAAATGAATAGGAAGGACGATGGGTTATTAAATATTAATGCATGTGAGCTTCTAATTGTGCATAATTTTGGGCCTTTCCTCTGAGTATTTCATTTCAGGAACAAACACCAGCTCCACCATCTTGGACTGCAGGGGGCTCTGCAGACTCTGAGCTCAGCGGAGCAGAACTGGACTGCACATGGTCAGGTTCTGGTTAGAGCGGGTCAGCGTGGATCTCCTGAGCCAGTGTTGCCCCTCAGCCTGCTTGTAGATGAAACTATGGCATCAATTTGAAAATCTTAAAGACAT